ACTTCTCTGGACGAGACTCTGCCCTTCGGCATAGCGTCGTCCGGCTTACTCTGTCCGAACGCAGAGAGTTCGATATGGCAAGAGCTTTCCACGCTGCCAGCGTAGACAACATATACCCCCACTTACAATAGCGTCCAGCGTATTTATGAGGATTGTGGCATACCCGTTAGAGTTCATAGGTACGGTATATGACAGAAACATTACTGATAAGCGAGAACAAAAAGGGTGGATAGCGGTTGACATTACATTTAAATTTTAGAAGATTAAAGTTAGCTGGAAATCACAAAACCGGAAAGGAGTTCCACAAGCAAGAAGTGCGAGAAAAGAAACTGTCAGTATAGATCTTACAATTATATCTAACCAACGCAAATGTAAAGTGGTGGGATTTCGACGCCAGTCTAGTACTGCGCTTAAATTCAATAAATCTAAATGCCATAGTGAAGAGTTTATTCGAAGAGTTGCTATGAAAGTATTTATAGAAAAGACACAGGGAAACAACCTTACGGCAGGGGGGGGGAAGTGATTGAAACCGAGACGCCAGATCAGGATCAATAATATTGCTGATTCTTCTTTGGATTGTTTTTCAAGGAGCTCTACTGACTTGAACAGTCAATGAATGACGAATGTTCTCTGCATGGAAACGGTTATTTTGACCCGTATCATTACCGTCTCTCATAGATTAGATTTATAATTGATTCGCTATAAAAAGAGATAGGAAATTATATATTTGTCGGGAAATTATTTTATCCTATCACTTTATTGCAGATGGTCACTCGAGCAGATGTGTTATTATAAAACTGCGTTTAAAGTCATGTCAAATCGTGTGATTAACGTCAAAAAGTAACGATGTTTATTGTTATTTTCATTACATTCGAGACAATTTATAATAAAACTTTCTGATGTGTAGTCGTGGTAAATTCGAAAACATTGTTGTAAAAAGAGTTTTATTGTAAATTATCTAGAATCGTGATGCAATAATATACCAATGCTGATTTCAGTAAATTAACGCATTTAACGCCTGTTAAAAAAAATTTATAACATTTTTTTTCAATTTATTTTACAAAGAAATATTTTCACGACGACTGGATTTATTGATTGATTGATTTCTTTGTTTTTACGGCTTAACAACCCTTTGCAGGTTATTTAGAGCCAGAAAATATTTCTCCTTTATGAGAAATTTTTGGAGATGATAATTTACTTATACAAGATACCCATAGCTAAGAAAAGAAAAGGTGGATTCATGCCTTTTCCCAATGGTATTTATGCAGAAGTGAGTGTAATGAACCCGACTGGAATTGAAACTCGGTTCTCCGATTGCCAATTCCGAGCCATTATCCATTACACCACCGGCACATCCAATCTTGTACTACCTGGTATTCTCAAGCAAATGGTGACCCATCTAGGCAGTGGCTAGCCTCGTCGTTGCTTAACTTCAGTGTTTGGACGATTTTTTTATTTGATTTGTTTAACGGCATATCAACACTTTATAGATCATTTAATGCCAAGATTTAATTTTCGTTGGTGATTTGAAGTAATAAAAATGATATATGTTATTCTGCTTTCGCAATTGAATACATGGTAGATGATACTCAGCTTTTGTGTATATATATGTATCTGTGGACATGAGTGTGTTTTATGTCGTAGTTTTGTTGAAGTTACATTTTAGAATAGAGTTAGACTTTAAGAAATTGTAAGATATTATATGTGAAAGAGTTCTTTCATGTTGGTTATATGGTTGGCTGATTTTGTTTGGCGGCATATCAACACCTGTATGGGTTATTTAATGCTGAAATATAAATAGTTTGCATGTAATTTTATGCTTTCGACTAAATATATTTTGTAAATAATTATATGCTTTCAAAGTAAAGTTGTTTTTTAGATATACATTTTCTAGATCATAAATTGTATTGTTAATGATTTTACTATAAAAATATATTGTTGGTCATCTTATTATACAAATATACAGTTTATTTTTGTTTGGGGGTTCACTTTTTGCCCAGAGGCCTTGCTGCCGGATTTAGTTTATCGTCATACCCAGGAGGAGTGGTCGGACAAGTAGCGGACTGAAAATTGGCATTAACATAATGCCGGACATAAAACCGCCATGCTTTCGTTCAAATTATTACAGCCGATCTACTGTATATTTCATAAGTTAGATGTTCGCATGAGTTTTGTCATCGAGTCGCTCTGTGTTGATTAGACAAAAAACATTATGAAAAAGAATTCAAATATTAAAGATTAGCGGAGACAGCAAATGAATAATAAAAGAAGAAAAACGAAGAAAACTGAAAAATAAATGAAAAAATAAAATCACAAGAAAGAAAAGTTAAATCGTATTTTCAGTAAAATAAAAGTCCAGTAACAGTAAAGACACCATAAGACTCTTAATATTTGGAACGACACAAGGGAAAATGAAATGGAGATGCTAATATTGCGTTGCTCCAACTTTCAATACGAAGGGTATATATCTCTTGAAAATGGTAAGAGTTCGTTCAGAACAAAAAACAAAAACAAGAAAATATTTTAACACAATATTTCTTACCATATTCTACTTATTTATTAGTCTACCATTCTTTGAATAGTGTTGCCACATTTGGTCCAGTGCTCCAGCTATACTGTATATTTAGAGATTCTTGATAAAATCCAAAGAAGAATCTGCAATGTTATTGGTCTTGGCCTGATATCTCGACTTCTGTCACTTTACCATGACCGTAATGTACCTTCCTTGTTTGTTTGTTTGTTTAAAACTTAACGACCCATCGATCAGCAAGAGATCATTTAAGGTCAAACAGTTGTTTTTTGTTTTTTTTTAAATAAGGTTGAAATGCTTACAAGGAAACTTTTCCTTTCCTTCTTTTTCGATGTTGTCTTGCTTTTTTAAAAAAATATAAATTCACTGTTTTCAGAGGTGCGTTGTTCTTCGAAAATTTCTCACTTGGCAAGTATCATCACTTTCATCATCAGACACCAAATTGGAATTATATTTTATTATATAGTCCAACTTTCCTAAGAAAGGTCAAGATCAAATTGGGGTTTGATTTTTCGAAATGTTCTTTCAAGTTGTTCACGTTGTAAAATAATTTTCGAATATGTGCCATGTCACCGCAATCAAGCAGGAAGTGCTTCACAGTATAAGCCTCCTGGCATGCTATGCATTCAGGAGGATCTTCGTCTTTTAGGAGGAAGGAGTGAGTTATGTGCGTGTGTCCCTATCCGAATACGGGATAAAACCACTTCTTCTTGTACTTTTTTATAAACATTTTCATGGCAATTTTTCTAATGAACTCTCCTCTATGGGACTCATTGCAATCATTGTAAATATTCATTGGAATTTCATTTTTAAATCCCCCCAAACACAGATAAGAATTGTACATATGGTGACTAATTAGGACTTCATAGAGACTTTGATTTGTTTAACGGCATATCAACACTTTTATGTAGTACTAATAGTAAGTAAGAATATGTTGTTTCGGTATAAGGAATACTGTGGAATGTTTGGGTCAGTAATCGTGGCTAGCTAAGTTTAAGATAAGGCAAATTGAAAACCAGTCTGCCCTTATCTCACACTTTTGGACTAGTGCCATATTTTGTATTAAAATATATTACATTTCTTTAATCCACCCCTGTCCACATCCATTACGTGACAGAGATGTCAGTTCTCTGGTAGATGCGGGGCGCTTTTCATTTTTCCAGTCTCTATTTCGTAATTGTTTCTGTTTCCAAGTGAGTGGGTGTTTGAACGAAAGTTTGGTCAAGTGATTGTTCTTAATTACCTAGTCCCGCATTAATTTCGTTCAGTTAATTGATTTTTCTATCACAATTAAGTGTTGTAGGGGTGGGGGGTTATTACTAACACTATTTTTTTTTTTGTATATAAATTGTTTTCATTGTAAATATTCATTGGGGTCTCATTTTTAAATGTTTTTCTTCCCGACTCCCATAAACAAACTGTGCATATAGGAACTAGTTAGGACTTCGTAGAGACTTCGAGGTATTATGGTGACTGTAGTAAGAATGTGTTGCTTTGATGTAAAGAATACTTTGGTATGTTTAGGACAGTAATTGTTGCTGGGTATGTTTGAGACAAATTGAAGATCAGCCTTCTCTCAGCCCCACGTTTGGCCTAGTGCAACATTTTTGTATTATAATAAAATAACTATTACTCTCCGCTGTGGTACTTAGACTATGTGAATTTAAGCGTAGTACTAGATTAGCTGCAATGTCTCATCATTTTATCGTTTTAAATAGCGAAATGTAACCGTAAGTTCTATGCTAACAGTTTCTTCTATCGCACTTCTCATTTGTGAACCTCTCTTTCGTTTTTTGGTTCCCAGTTAACATTGATCTCCAAAAATCTAAATGCAATATTACTCGTTATCTGCTGTGTTCTTAATTATTCTTCTTTTATTGTCCTCTCTCCTTAATAGTAGTTTTTTTTTTCATATTGCGTTCGAGTGACTTTATTGCCTTGCTTGAGACGCAAAAAAAAAGAAGTTAACTTGGTCAGTTTACAAACAAAATGTCATTTCACAAGAGTAAGTTATCCTCAACCCTTAAGATGGCCTTAAGCCTACCCGTAAGCCCGAGCAGAATTAATTAACGATGAGAGCAGGCGATATCTATTCAACTTCTCTCTTCACTTTCGCCACTTTCCCACGTCGACACTTTTCTCTTCCACATAGAAACACCAACAATAACGAAACCATTAATATTTGAACTTTTCCAAACAAAAGGTGTTAACTGTAGATAAAGTCCGGATTATTGGCAAGAGTAATTCATTAAAAGAGTGTGGCTGGGTGAGGCCTTTTGAGGAGAGGTCAACAAATAAAGTTCACACCCTAATAACCATGTAGTAACCAGCTTACCAGTCTGTATTTTCAGAGCTGAACATTTATGGAAGAACGTGTTGGTTTCTAGGAAGAAATTATTTTACTGATGACACTACTTCTTGGAGAAATAACTCGACAGCGATTTCAAATCTAATATCTTTCTATATATTTATGTTATCTATCTATCTATCTATCTATCTATCTATCTATCTATCTATCTATCTATCTATCTATTGCAGTCTGTTTATTATCAATCTATCTGTCTATCTCAGTTTATTCAATACCTGGCTGCCTACTGTCTTTCTATCTATGTCTATTCATTCATATATATATATATATATATATATATATATATATATATATATATATATATATATATATATATATATATATATAAAAAAAAAAGAACAGTAAGATATAAAATACAATGTTCTTATAGATATAATGGAACTAATGCTTTTAATTTAATTGCAAAATTAAATTCAGGGTTTTAACTTCTATTTTTGAAACATGGTTGGAACTGTGTAGCGAAAAAAACATATTTTAAATCAATTAATTTATAATATATATATATATATATATATATATATATATATATATATATATATATATATGTGTGTGTGTGTGTGTTTGTATATTTATATATATATATATATATATATATATATATATATATATATATATATATATATATATATATATATATGAATAGACATAGACACATATATATATATATATATATATATATATATATATATATATTTATTAAAACATTTTTTTATAGATTTTTAAAATTCTTTGTTTATAGATACAAGTATTTAAGTAAATGTCCTGTTTATAATAAAAAAAAAAAAAAAAAAATAAATACATTCCGGCCTGTAATGTCCAAGAAATTTTCATTATTAAAAAAAAATTTACTCGAATATTTGTATCTATAAAAAAGAACGTTAAATATAAAAATGTCTTTAATAAATAAATTGTCGGATTTGTCCATTTCTTAATATATATATATATATATATATATATATATATATATATATATATATATATATACATATATATATATATATATGAATAGACATAGATAAAAGACAGTAGGCAAGCAAGGTAAACTTGAATAAACTGATATATATATATATATATATATATATATATATATATATATATATATATATATATATGTGTGTGTGTGTGTGTGTGTGTGTGTGTGTGTGCATTCTTATATATTTATCTCTCTGTCTATCTCTGTTATTCCTTATTCCTTCTTATCTATCGATATATCTATTTATCTAATCTTTGAATGTATTTCTATCTTCTCTTATCAATGTCTGTTTAATCTATCTATCTATCTATCTATCTATCTATCGATCAAGATATATTTACTTGTTTCAAGGGAAAAAAGTCTCGATAAATCTGACAGCCGGTCAATTATTAGCGTGATAGTTAGAGCTGTTGCCTTGTGCCGCTTTTTCTTCATCCGATTGGCATTCCGGTTTTGACAATCAGCCTTCTCTCTTTCCCTCATCCATTATATATACATATATGTCGATTATATATATATATACATATATATCGATTATATATATACATATATATCCATTATATATATACATATATATCCATTATATATATATACATATATATCCATTATATATACCGACGTGTGTTTAATAACAGATGTGACTCTAGTTTCGATTCTCTAGATTGCAAATTCAAAATTTCAACGCTTCTGAACATAAATCGCCATCAATTTTTCTATTCATTTTTCTTGACAAAATTCTGTTAGAATGACCGTTTCTTACCAACTGTTTTCATGTCTTTGAATTTGATTTACCCTCTCTCTTTCTCTCTTTCCCTATATCTTTCTTGCTCTTTCTCTCTCTCTCTCTCTCTTTCTCTCTTTCCCCTTCCCTATTTCTCCTTTTCTCCCTTAATCTTTTTCTCTTTCTCCCTATCACTTTCTCACTTTTCCTATCTCTTTCTTTCTTTCTTTCTTTCTTTCTTTCTTTCTTTCTTTCTTTCTTTCTTTCTTTCTTTCTTTCTTTCTTTTTCCCTCTCTATCTCCCTCTCTCTTTCTCGCTCTATTTCTCTCTGTCATTTTCTTACTTTTTCCCCATCTCTTTCTTTCTCCCACCGTCTCTCTTTGCCCCTCTCCCCCTTCTCTCTTTGCCTCTCTCCCCCTCTTTCTCTCTCTTCCTATATCTTTCCCTCTCTTTCCCCTAACACTTTCTCCTTCTCTCTCTTTCTTCCTCTCTCTTTCTCATTTTCTACCTGTTTCTTTCTCTCTCTTTCTCGCTTCCCCTCTCTCTTGATCTCTCCCTCTTTCTCTCTTGCTCCGGCTTTTTCTAGCTTCCCCTTCTCTCTTGATCCCTTTCTCTTTCTCGCTGCACTCTCACTCTCTCTCTCTCTCTCTCTCTCTGCTTGTTTATACGTCATTAAAGCTTACTTTTGCACAAGATTAAATTCGAAGGGAACTGTTTTTTACCTGGGCTGGAACTCCGACCTCTATCTCCTTGCGGTCCTAGATCTATTTGCTCTCATCTTAGAAATTTGTTGACCAATATTTAGAAAGTGCATGGCCTTTTGTTTTCGTTTTAATCAAATTCATCTGACAATGAGATTATTTTCATCAGCTAAAGTCAAAGTTCAGTATTATTTTAGATTTATTTAAATATGCCAATAGTTATTTATATCTCCTGAGAAGGTTAAGTGAACAATAGCAGTCGATGGTAATTTTTGGTAACATGTTTTCTATAAATATTAATTGAATTATTAATATCTCTAGAAAAATAGAAAACTACAAATGAATATGGAACAGTGTGTTGTGGTTGTGACTTATAGACAGAGTAACTGCTTTTGATCTTTCTTTTTTCTTCTTCTTTGTAATGTTTCCCTTCAATACGTGACCGACTATGGCTCCCCACAACTTTCTATCCTTTGTAACTCTTAGTAAAGATTATCTTTTTGCTATCTCTCCAAATCCCTGATCTGTCACAATCTTGTTAGGTACGTTATTCGCTACTTTCCTCTGTCTCCTTTGTTTTCACTCTATCCTGTGAATGTTAAATTCTTCAGGCTCTCTTTCCTCGTTATGTGTAGCTAATTAAGTAAAATCTATATTATGGAATAAAATTAGCTTTTATGTTTCTCTATCTCTTCAAATGTTGAATGTATAACTAATTCTTATTTCTATTTTCTCATCTTTACACTATATTAATTTTATCTTATAAATTCTCCCGCTGTTTTGTTCTCCATGAAATAAAAATAATTGTTTGTTTGGAAAATAAGGATCAAATTGTCTTTAAATTAAGTGGCAGCAGAAGAATTATCGTTGAACTTTTATAAGGTAAGCTTAAACATTAATTCAATACTTAAATGCAGCGATCAATTTTGAGTTCTTCTGTAGTTTATTGATACATATCGCATCTACTCCTCCATAGCTATTGTGATGATGGCCAAAACAAAAGTTCTCCACTGATTCGGGGTAGTAGCACCTGTTAGGGTCCAATCTATGGGCAAATACTGAACACCCAAACTGGGATCAAGTATTTACATTTGAGCTGGCTAGATGTAACCGTAAATTGTATGCTAACAGTTTCTTTTCTCGCACTTCTCGCTTGTGGAACTCCCTCCCAGCTCCATGCTATCCAGCCAACTTTAATCTGCAAAAAATTAAATGCAATGTCAATCACTATCTACTGTCTATCTGATTACAATTTCTGCTTATTACTAATGCTTCTCTTCCTAATCCCTCTACATCCTGTAACTCCTTGCGTTTTAGTGGCTTTACTGCCTTCCTTGGGGTGATACTGATTAAAAAAATTTAAAAAACATGAAAATATAAAAATATATTAGAAAAAAATACCAATAATACATTTTCATAGTAATTTTTTTTTAAATTACCAGCAATACGTTTTCACAGCAAAAGTTTTTATTTTTTTTTTAAATTACCAGCAATACGTTTTCACAGCAAAAGTTTTTATTTTTTTTTAAATTACCAGCAATACATTTACATAGTAATTTTTTTAAAAAAAATACCAACAATACATTTTCATGGCAAAATTTTCAAAAATTACCAGCAATACATTTTCATAGTAAAATTTTTTAAAAATTACCAGCAATACATTTTCATAGTAAAATTTTTCAAAAATTTCCCGCAATACATTTTCATAGTAAATTTTTTTTTAAATTACCAGCAATACATTTTCATAGTAAAAATTTTCAAAAATTAGCAGCAATACTACATTTTTTTAGTAAAAATTTTCAAAAATTACCAGCAATACATTTGCATAGTAATTTTTTTTAAAATTACCAGCAATACATTTTCATAGAAAATGTTTTAAAAAATTACCAGAAATACGTTTTCATAGTAAAATTTTTTAATTTCTTAAAAATTACCAGCAATACAGTTACACAGTAAATTCTTTTTTAAAATTACCATAGTAAAAATTAAGAAAAGACATTACCAGCAATACATTTACATAGCAAATTTTTTTTTAAAAATTACCAGCCATACATCATAGTAAAAAAAATTTTAAAAAAATTACCAACTATACATTTTCGTAGTAAAATTTTAAAAATGAGCAGCAATACATTTTTGGAGAAAAAAAATATTTACGCTCACAAGAAAGTAAGATTTCGGCATTAAATGACCCATCAGGAGTTGATCCACTTTTGCATGAACAATTTACACATCATGGTGAACGTGACCAACTTTCTAATTATTAGCCTTAAAATAAAGTATTACGCACTTCCTAGTTTTTATTTTCATGAATTCATTCCAGATCCTCATGCTTGGGTGTTATGGCATGAGGTTAAGTGCCAGCAAATCTCATTTAAATGTCCAACAACTTTCACAATATCCTTGCAGACAGCAGGACCACCGTGGTTCTGATATTCTCAGATATTCTTTAGATTTTAATTTATCTAATTTTAATTTTAGCGTTTTGGAGCATGTTTTCAGTACACATCTATAAGAGTTCACACTATAGAATAAGTGACAGCAAGTCCCCTCAATATTCCAGCACCCTCCTCAGTATTCTAGCTATTTTCAATAATGCTGTCATTTGGATGATTCCAAATCTAATGTCCAGTGACTCCTGTTTTTTTTTTTTGTTGTTGTTGTTTTTTGTAGGCTTTTTTTGGAATCGTTCCTAGTGTTTGGCATATTTTCTTATTCTTAACGGCTGGAATATTCCACATCTTCATTGGCTGTTTACCAAAATACTTAGGTTTTCTTTTTTTTTTTTCATATCTTCTCTCTGGTCTCCCAGAAGAGAGCTATTAAGCATATTTTTCTTTTGTTAACAGATCCAGCCACATGACCTGGATTGAGTAATCCATTTGAATCTCCCGGATGGTTTTAAGCGTTTCTATAAGACAAATTCTTGATTGTATGGTCAAAATGCGATCGTTTGCACCGTTCTCAGTGGGTCAACTTTCATACCCAGTCATGCCTATTCATGTATTTTTATTGGGTCAATTTGTGATTTTTCTCTGATTATGTGGTTATATTGTTTTATTTTCAGTTTTACTCACTCTATACTTGCTTAATTATTTTAATTTCAATATAATACATTTAAAGACTCAACCTTTGTATGTAAATAAATGCCTTGTTGCTCTGTGATTTAAATCTCATTAATCTGTTGATGGTCAACGGTTAAGATTACATTAGTGAATTTCTCATAAAAAAAAACAAAAAAAATTCACCATTCATTGACAGAAGTCGGTTGGAATTTATAACATCTTTCCATTAAACATTTTCATGTCCACTGTTTTTATTCTTTCCAATATAGATGGGGGGAGGGGTTCTTTCCTAGGTTTTTGATTTGAAGTAGTGAATATCTTGATTATATCATTATCGTAAATTCTCGAAAATAATACGCACCCATAAATAATATGCGCCCCAACAAATGATCCAAAAATTAAGAAATATATCTATCCTTATGTATAATACGCATCTATAAATTTTGTCAAAAAAAATAAAAATATAAACAAAAAATAATTACGAAGACATTTTGTCGACCTTGACATTAAGAATAAAATTAAAACTAAGCGGCTAAAATAATGTTGAAAAATACCATCGCAGTTTTCCCGATAAATATAACATTTTATTTTACCGCCAAAATGTCAAAACATGTGATTCCGTCAGTGACGATGTTATAAAGAGAGGTTTCAAGAAGTGTTGTCTCACGACAGCCATGGACAGCTCTGAAGATGATATTCGTTGACAAGAGAATGAAGACGCCGAAGATAATTTTGAACATTATGAAGATAATATGGTGAATGATAATTTGTTTAATGGCAATTTAGATATCGATTCTGTAATAGAAAGTGGTGATGATGATGATGAAAATTAAAATTTCAAAAACTTGATATCCTCTTTTCTTCAAAATTGGCCTTTTTATAATTTTTTTTTAATTTTTTCACCAAATAAAAATGTGTTACTGATAAACATAAATTTATTGACGAAAAAAATGTTACAATTATTATTGTTGGATTATAAATGAAAATTGAGACAATATCTTTCTTATTTTAGAACAAAAAGTACGTATTTATTATTATAAATCAATAACGAACAAATATTTTTGTTTGAACCTTGTTATAATACGCACCTCTACTCTCACCTGTAATTTACATAAAAAAAGCGAAAGCGTATTATTTTCGAGAAATTACGGTATTTTCTCCACGTTCATTTTAGCTGTTGCTGATGTTAAAAGTTTTCAAGTGATGTGGTTTCGCTTATTTGTTAACGTTCTTTGATTGCGATTGTGTAACGCCAATCTATGAGATATAGGCTACAGAGTACATTTGCTGGAAGCCATTTTGAAGAAAGCTGTTTTATACAACTGACAGTGTAGGCATTACTGAACGGTTTTGACGCTATGTACGACATCCGTTTGAAAGCCTCGACCTGACGAGGCTATTTAAGAACATGACTCGAATCCTTACGTCAATATCTTGGCTTTGTTGTAACTTACAGTGTTGGACAAATCTAAATCTCCAAATAACTAAGAAAATGATATCAATGTTTTCGGAAGTTGATTATGAAATGAACTCGCTATTGATGTAACCTGTGAGATAAGGAGTAGGATTTATTAGACGAATACATCAAAACTTCCAATCAATGTCATGATCAGGTCCGGTGGGTACTACCCGTGTCCAAACCGAGCTGTGTAGGGAGGGGGCGCTCATTGTGATCCCGAACAGTACATTGTGACCGTCGTTATCTTATCAACATTTGTTTTTTTTTGTTTTTTTCTATCTACATTTATATACGTTACAAATTGACTTAAACACAACTGACTATTATTAAAGGATGAAACATTTTCGACGATTTTGATGTCATTCTAGGCTCTTTTTTTTCTCGTTCAAACACGTGAATATGTTTTGCTCGGAAAAACACTATATAAAATTCACTATTTTTAATTTATAATGTTGAATGTGTTAAAAATTATTTGACTTTTAAAAAGTGAAATCTCAATCTGATGTTAAAATTGCCGCAACACATTGTTGATTTAAGATGAAATGATCTATTCTAACATGTCCCTAATTTAT